ATTCCTGAGTGTTTAAGTGTTTTCATACACTTTAAGGGAGTTTGTTCCCTTGTTGTAAACTCGAAGGAAGTTTCTTGTTCCTTCGTGAGAAGTCTTGGAGTGCGGTATCTCCGAGCAAAGGTGTTGAGGCTCGTGTGACTCGGGTTCTCAAGTTGTATCGGTTTGTTAAGCACCCTTAAGCTTAACGGAGTTAGTATAGCTCGAGAGAGTCTCTCGGGGGGCTGGATTAGCCACACGTTGTGGTGAACCAGGATAAAATCCGGTGTGCTCCTTCTTTACGCTCTTTACTTTAACGCTCTCGTTTTAATTTCCTGCGATTTTGTTTTAAACGCTATTCACCCCCCCCTCTAGCGTTGGGCCTTTATTCTAACAGGCCTAACACTTCCTTGGCAAACTCACACCTGCCAAACAGATGAGAAATGTCCTCTTCCCCATTTTGGCAAAAGAAACAAGTTGTGTCCACCTCCATAACTCGCGCAAGTCTAACTTTTGTTTGTATACGCCCACGCATAATTAGCCACATTATAAACTGGCACTTTGGCAGTGTTACCCTGTTCCACACCCAGTCTGTCCAAGTTGGTTTGGGATGTTCGCCTATAAATGCAATATATATTTTCTGGATCAAGTAAATATATTTCTAACACGATTTTTTATCATTGGACAAAAACACAAAGGTAGAATAAATAATATTTGAGAAATTGAAAATATACTCAAAAATGTCTTTTTTAATTCCAAACTTGTTGGCATGAAGAATAAGAAATTAAGTAGTACTTTTCACCTCATGGAATAAAGAATAAGAAAAATTCATTTACCATTCAACAACCTCGAGCACGGGTGCCAATAGTGCACTATCTTAAAAAAAAGAATATAATAGTTTTTTATGTTCTCCAATAAGTTCGAATAAGTGAAGTTCACTATATTTTTGAGAAATAAATTGTGTTAAGAATGAAGATCTTTAACTATTAGAGTACCAACTTCATGTATTGTGGAGATATTATAATTTCTTGAGTCTCTAGTACGTTTTCTTTGTCAACAACCTCAATGATACATTAGAAGTAGGCTCATTATATATGAAGTCTTACTTCTCAACAGCCTCAATGATACATTAGAAGTAGGCTCATTATCCATGAAGTCTTTAGTTCTTCTAAATATCTGTGTTAAAACATTATGCTCATCTACCATATTTTTCAAATCTTTGACCAAACTTTTATCAATAGTCAACGAATTATTCTCCATACTGTGCAAAACAAATAGAACAATTTGTTTTTATTAGCATGTTAATAATGTTTCATGTGTATTATATTGTCAAACACATGTAAATAATACTTTTATTAAAATGGTGTACTCAATAAAGTATTCGAGATGCCTAAAAAGAGTTATTTGTTTTCATATCTCGTTCTGTATACCATAAATATACAATTGTGTAAATTTTGGTCTTTCACCATATTGTGACATTAAACATGGTATGTGCTGATGAATGTGTTCGCTGAGAGTACATTATTGCTCAACCATTATTGTGAGATGTATCAATATTTCCATTTATAAATGTTAATGAAAACATACAGTTGTATTTATTTAAGTTTTTCATGGTAATGAGAACTCTTCACACCAAGACCATAAAATAAATTATAGAGCAAATCAGATGATTTTCCTTAGAAGAGACAATTAAACTTTTTCTTTGATGCAATAAATTGAAAACTTTAGTTGTTTTGAATCTTTATTCAGTTGATTCTTTCTTCATAGTGCATGTCATAACAAAGTTTCCCGAAATTCACACATAAATGCAAGATTCTCAAAATAGATTGTCTCTGAAAGAAAAATAAAATATGATGTATGCAGTCTTATGTGTGTGTGTGTGTGTGTGTATAGCATTCTACACAACTTACATGTTGCATATATAATCTAATAAACATATTTTTAATTTTTATTTCTCTAAATGCAGGATCATCTAAAATTGATTCCACTAATGTATCTTAAACATATGAACCTTCTACTTTAACATTTAAATTTAAAATATATTGAGTGTGTCCACCATATCTATTTTCTTACATTGTTTATAATGGTTTATACAAAAAGACAATAGTTGTATTATCATATTCAAAGAAATTAGTAGAATGGGTTGTAAACATAGACCAATTCTCTTCTGTTTCTTATGCACTTAAAAGCGCGATGAAGCGTGTGTATAATTGTTTCGTGGTTGGAAAATTATAGATGATTTTTTGGGAAATATGTACTGGAACGTGTTTGCAAAGTATATTCTTTCTCGAACGTGTTCGATGATGCGAGTTTATAGCCGATGATGATCACTCCCCTTCTGTATTTGTAATAAGCATCATAAAATAAATATTATAATTTTTTATCTAAAAACTTTAAATATTTTTTTTATTATCCACTAATATTTGTTACATTGATGTAGATGGTTCAATGAATAAATAAGAAAGAATATTACTTACTTATATTATTTTGACATAGATGTCAAAATAATTAGCACATTTTTTTAAGAATTAAATATAAAAGTAATTACATTTATAACAATTAATATTATACCATAAATATTTCGATTAGGAACACCAATTAATATTTAATTTCTTACACATAAATACTCACTTATCAAGTCTTGATCATTTTACAAAGTTATAAATGGAAATGATAATTTTTGTTACATGTAAATTTTTACAAAGCTATACATGGAAAACAATAATTTTAAAATGGAAAATACTAATTTTAAAATGGAACATACTTTTTATTTGATTTAGAATTTTTATTTATACGGAATAAAATTAATGCTCTATTAAATAAGCGTGCCCATAAAAATCCATTTCCTTTTATATATTTGTTTCTTTTTTTTAAATAATTAGAAAATCTCTCCAAATACTATTAATTCAAAGCAAAAAAATCAAATGTAATTTCGTTTAGTCCTACCAATCTATCCGTTCTTAAATTAAATTTATTTTTTTTGATTATAGTTTTTGAATAGGTGGTTTTTTCAAACTTCAAACTATACTATTTAATTTAAATATTTTCCAATAATGAATGAAAATATAAAAGTTTTTAAATGTGATTATATGGAGAAATTTATGTGTAACAAATATGAAATTTAATTTCCGCATAATAAGTTTTTTTGTTAACTATTTTTTAAACATTACTTGCTAACATGACATGCTGATATGTTAAAAAAATTGTCTAATAAGCACGCCATATATCACAATTCTAGAATCCCAACCCGTTTGGAATATTGAGAAAGTTTATTTTGATGACGTGGCTGATGAAGTGTCAAAAAAAGATCCAGTCAGCACGCCAAATGTCGCAATTTTGAGAGTAAATGATTACTCCCTTTAAATATAAAAAAAACTCTTACTAAAAACAACATATAAAACCTCATTTTCATATCTTTATTTTATTTACAAATTTATATATATCTATCCATAAAGAAAAAATACAATTTAAATATTTTAAAAATACTCTTTCCATCCCTAAGTGTCAAATTTTTAATTTTTTTATCACATGTTGGTCGAACTTCTTAACATATGTTCTCTTTCTATCTCCAAGTGTCAAATTTTTACTCCCTCCATCCCGAATTACGAGGTAAAATCTCTCATCTTTTGGAATTGTTTTGTTTACAAATTGGTATATATCAATAAGGAATAAAAGTACATATTAAAAAATTGAGTAAAAAATTCTAGAAAACGAGAAGTGACAATAATATTATATTTTAACAAATTTTTAATGAAAGCAGACAAATAAACAAAAGTTATCAAAAGAGAAAGAAAAAATTGTAATCTATTTCAGAACGGAGAAAGTATGGGACATAAGATATGTTAATTTAACTTTTGAATAGGTGAATACAACAACTTTTGAATAACTTTTAAAGAAATAAAAATTGCCTTATTGTTAGTATAAAAATGTTATAATTAAATTTATCTTATAAGAATATTTTAAATGATACTCAAAATTTATCTACTTTGACTATAAAACATCACATTAAAGAAAAAAAATGTACTCGAAGATTTATGTCATTATATTGTGTTGAAAGGAGATATAAAATCTCCTGCTTTTGACTTTGGAACATTGAAAATTAAAAGTTAGCTTCATATTTTTCGCAGTTTTGAGAGCATAGACGTAATTCGAAGTTTCGTAGCTTCAGTACCTCTAGAGTTTAAAAGGCAAACAGGCTAAGGATACACCAAAACTGTACCGATATTTTAACGGTTCGCTCGAGTAAAAAATGTTAGTTCAATTTAAAAAAAAATTGCACTGATATCTTTTGACAATGTAAAACATCACACTAGTAAAAATGTCGGTGCATGCCTTTTGGGTTACAAAATGAGGTACAAATTTTGGTGTACAAATAGCTTAATATTCTTTAAAAAATGGAAATCAATGTTTCTATTTTTAAAATTTATTTATAAAATTCTCGTGATTTCAAAACAGTGCACACATCCCCTTTGATCATTTTCTGACCACCTTTCAATCATTTTTCGGTAAAGAGGGTGCTTTGGGCCCTATTTTCCAAACCATATGAGATAACGTAGCTCATTTTCTATTTTCCTTTTATTTGTTGGTTTTTCCCCTTTTTATCTTCTTTTTCTTCTCTTTGTTTCCTTTTAATAAGAGGTTTTTTAATTTCATTTCTAAATCTTTTAAATAATTTTTTAAAATTTCAAAATTGTTTGTGTTCGAATAAAAAAACAAAATGAGAAAAAAAAATTAACATATACTTCATCTATTTCAAATCAAACGTTTTCATTTTTTTGTTTTCCAGAATAAAAAGAAAATATTTTTTTGGGAAGTTCAAAAAATAAAACTAAGATTAGAAAAAAAGAAATAAAATAAAATAAAATAATAGAAAAAGAAATGAAAAGATACAAAAATACTCTTTGAAAAAGAAAATGTAGATATCGAGTGCGCTAATAAGTTTCCTTTTCTAGATGTCTAAAACATTCTTATAATTGGAATGCCCAAAAAAAATTATTATTTTTTAATCTTTTATTTGTTTGTTGGAGCGTCCAGCCGTTCAACTTTTTCATTCAGCGAGGAATTGAGGAAAGTTTCCTTTCTTCGTTCCAGGCAAATCGGCGAAGAAGGAACCCCATGAAAATCGCGATTGCTTACATCTATTCAAGGATTAACTTCCTTCTTCATCCCAGATCTGCAGTCCAAAACAGGTATCTTTCTTCCATCTTCACTAAGGAAAGACTCCAAATTAGGTATGTTTCTAATTTTTGATTCTTTTTTGTATTTATGTATAATCGAACTTAATATTTAGGTAGGTCGTCTCTTCTTCACCGGTGGAAACTCTAGAAAGTACCAAATGACGGAAATTTCATTTGCTCCTTCTCCAATTTTCAAACCAGAGACCAGATCGGTTTTTTTTGGACTGTAACTTGGCCGATGCAAATCAGGGATATTCTTTGAGGTTACCGATCTTTTTGTTGCAACAGACAAGCAAATTCGTCTACCCTATTTGCAAGATTCGTCCCAATTCACACTATTTGTGGCCATCTAAGCCATCCAGGTTTCCTCTTTAATTTGATTTCTTTTTTATTTTTGTCATTCCATCTTTATGTTTAAGTATAATTTTCCTAAATGCTAATTTTTAACTATATATTTTTAAATACAAATTAATTTTCTAAAATTCTAGGAATCATTTTTTATCTATAAAATGAGAATGAATAAGGACCTTATCAGATTGCAGGTAATGCCTGCTTTTGATATTTTCTTTTGTGTTCATTGTGTAAATATTTGACTAACACTGCTAATGATATATAGACATAGAAATTATAGTCAAATGAAATTGTAGAAAAATTAACTTACAACCATGGGTGCATGGAGTGGATCACACCTTAAATATCTTTTTTCATCTAGATTTCATTCTCAAGAAATTAGTTTGTCTGTTCAATATATAGGTGTTTAAAAGTGAGCCAATGTATCATCACTCATGAAATCTAAATTCAAGTAATTTGTGTGTTTTCCCGTCTTTGATTTTTTCAGAGTATGAGCCTTTGGAGGTTTTAAAAAATTAGAAGCAAATACATTACTTAATAAAATTGATAATTGTTACCAAACTTATCTAGATTTGTTCTACACGTAAACATTAAGGGGTTAAACTAACATGTAGATAATGACACCATATGGGGGTTAAACTTATCTACATAAGTTTGATAATTGTTACCAAACTTATCTAGATTTGTTCTACATGTAAACATTTAGGGGTTAAACTAACATCTAGATATGTTTTTGTTGTTATTTATTCCCTAATTTAATCGTGCATATTCAATTCATATTGTTCATCAATATACGTTAATTAGCTACGTATTCTTAGATTGTCTTTCTTTTGGTAAATTCCAATAAAATTGTTTTGATTAATAATTTCAATCAAAGTTTTTAAGGGAGAGTTTCCATCCTGTCTTCCAACCAATGTTGAATGGTTAACAAAGGATTATTGCATTGATTTTTGGGATGAAAGAAAAAATGACCACGTACTTTTATTTTCTCATTACATGAAATCGCTTTTTTGGCTTCACTAAAGTAATCTTATTTTATTTAATTTATGAGGTTTGAGATTGAGGAACTCCTTGAAAGAATTAGAGATAGTTAATTACTCCACATAGCTCAATTACAAGAGTCTAACAATGGATTTTGGAAGGCATAATAGAACAAAATGGCAACTTGCAAAGGGGTATAAAAGCTCTCAATTTCACCATTTTTGGTTTCTAACTTCTCTTTCAATTTTAAGAAATTATTTGAAAAATTTATTAAGATTTCACAGCCTTGTGATAAAGACACCTCGAGAAGTTGCCCGCTTTATGTTGTAAGAAGTATAACTCAAGGTGTCACAAGTGCACGTTGGGCTTGGAGGTATTCTAACAGTCCTCTAATTGCATTATTGTCCCTTGGATTTTTTGATATTTAGATATTCGAACATGAAATTGTAAGCCGGTGAGATCAGCTTTACAGGTACAACACCAGTACGTGGTAGCAAAACAAATTCTGAGGCCATAATTGATTTTATTTCCCGGCTACAAGCTTGAGCTACATGCATTCTTATATTCTCAATACTAAGAAACTACTTTCAAAAAATAATACCCCGTAAGAAATAAGAGTAATAAACTTTATATACAACAAAAGAATTTTCAGGGTAACTTCCGGCTCAAAAGCATTATATATCAACTGCAGTTGAAAATCCAACAAATAAAGTGTTGTTTACTAGCATGTACAGAGTAATATACTCCCTCTGTCCCATAAAGATGGATACATTTTGACTAAAATAGAAATTAAGTGAGGGATAATTTTGTGTTGACTTTTCAAAAATACCCTTGATGTGATGGGTAAAAGTATGATGTGATGTGTAGATTATTAGGAAAAATGTATGATGTGATAGGTAAGGTTTGAAAAAGTAAGGGGTAAAAATGGTTTTTTAATAGAAATGGGTAAGGGATTGTGGGACGCAATTTTTTTGAAACGTGTAAATCTTTTTGGGACGGAGGTAGTATATGTTTATCAAAAGCATGCATGCATGGAATAGATTATAATGAGATGTAGATGATAATGAGTACAACAGATGAAAGTGGCCCCATTAATTAAGGCCACTGCAATTTCACAGATGAAGACAACAATATACTCCATCTTTGTTCTCCCGATATCTAACTAAATTATGTTAGAAATATCAAACAAAAATAAATATTTGATTAAGATATTATGTAAATCATATCCTTGATTGAGAATCAAATAATCAATCAAAGATATTGATTAGCTTCCACCCACTTTCCTTAATTGTCTCTTAATTACATATTGTAATATATATTGACACCATTCTTGGTGTAGTGAAATAAGAAGAAATCCCGTGAATTTTATTTTATAGTTCTAATCTGGTATCGGAGCCTTCATTCGATCCAACGATTGAATGAAACGCAGGTTTCTTCATTTACCATAAAAAAAAATATGTCTGACCAAACTCCAGAAAGCTCCACCTTCACAGGGGAGTCTGATCCAATGAAGCAGCCCGTCAATCTTGCACAAATTCTGGAAATTCTCGAAAATTTCCAGAATTTAGCACCCAAGGCAGATCCTATCGAGAGCTCCTCCAATCAGCCGTTAAATTTGGCGGAAAAGCTCAACGATAAAAACTACGCCATTTGGGCACGCAAGATGAGCTTGGCGCTTGACGGAAGGGGACGGCTCAAACACATCACTGCCGCACCCCTCAAAAATGATGATTCCACATATATCAAATGGAGGCAAGCAGATTCAACGGTGATAACGTGGATACTGGAAAATATAGAATCGGATATTGTAAATCAATATATCGATTATCCTACTGCCTGGGATTTATGGAAGGGAATCAAAGCCACATATGGCTCCGGAAAAGATCCCTTTCAAATCTACGATTTAATGGTCAAAGCCAGTGAGATCAAACAAGGAGCACAACCTCTTGAAAAAATTTATAGCCAACTTCAAGCTGTTTGGAAGGAAATCGACAGATGCCGACCCAACCCAATGAAATGTCCAGAGGATATGACGATTTTTACACAAATTCAACAACAAAATCGTCTATATCAATTTCTACAAGCAGTCAATGAAGAATTTGATGCTGGAAAAAGAGATTTACTCAAAACCGAACCACTCCCTTCGGTAGAAGAGGCGTACGCCCAAATCCGAAGGGAGGCAGCAAGAAAAGGTATCATGAAAGGAGAAGGAGGAGGGCCATCATCGGGAGAGACTCCCTCAGGGATCGGCGGTGGCCTTGTGGCCACACGAGTGGCGGTGCGATCGGAGAATCGCCAATCGTCATCTCGCACCTATGAAGAAAAATCGCACTTAAAGTGTACCTACTGCGGCGGAATAAAACACACGGCCGAAGGGTGCTTCAAGCGGATTGGGTATCCGGAATGGTGGCCGGATAGTCCAAAAAGGGGAAAGAAACCGTCTGGGGTAGTTGGGGCAGCGGTGGGCAATCCAGAGACCACCAGCACTGCCGCCGACCATATCTTCGCCGGTGTCACCACGGGAAAACAAGAGACGCAGAGCTCAGTGGTCTGCGAATTGATGAAACAGGCGGCGCAGAGGAAAGAAAAGGAACGGGTAGGGTTAGGGAGGAAGAAGGGAAGAGGTTTTATATTTTAAAACCCAGCCCACCAAATAAGCCCAATACCCACTCAATTAAAAATACCCAATGGATTTTTTATTGTGGAGCAACCGACACGATGTCTTATGACCGTTCTGATTTTTATTCCTTAAATTGGTCTAAGAAAACCCATATTCAAACGGCCAATGGGGATCATTCTCGTGTTGAGGGCGCCAGTCCAATATCTATCTCGACATCTATCCGACTTGACAACTGCCTATATGTTCCCACACTGTCTCATAAATTGTTGTCCATAAGCCATGTCACCAAACAATTAAATTGCACTGTCCTAATGCATCCCACTTTTTGATGAAGTTGATCACTATGGAACAGCTACACTATGGGACAATGGACTGGACATGCATCGTCGTTTGGGCCATCCATCTTGGGGTATCTCAAAATTCTCTTTCCAAAATTATTCCATAAACCATGTCTTTTTCATTGCAACAGTTGTATTCTAGCCAAAAGTCAAACATTCTTATCCATTAAATAATACTGTTGCATCACAACCTTTTTCATTAATCCATTCCGATGTGTGGGGTCCATCTCCAGAACCGAGTCCAAATGGGTATCAATATTTTCTACTGTTTATTGATGATTGTACCCGTATGACATGGGTGTATTTTCTTAAACACAAATCTGAGGTTTTTGAAAAATTCACTTCATTCTACAAATTGATCCACACACAATATCAAAAAGAGATTTGTATTCTTCGATCTGATAATGGAGGAGAATACATAAATCATCCCATGGAAAATTTCTGTAAGGAAAAAGGTCTTATCCATCAAACCACTTGTCCTGATACCCCTCAACAAAATGGCGTTGCTGAACGCAAGAATCGGATCATACTCGAAATCACTAGATCTTTTTATGATTGAGTCCAATGTTCCGATTTATTACTGGCCCGTAGCAATTGCACCCACCATTTATCTCATAAATCGTCTTCCGACAAAAATCCTAAATCACAAAACACCCATCGATACACTTGCGAGATTTTCCCCTGTTCCTACCTCCTTGACTCTCACTCCTCGTGTATTTGGTTGCACTGTATATGTACATATTCCAAAAGTCAAACGGACAAAATTTGATCCTTGTGCTGTCCGATGTGTCTTTGTTGGATATGGGGTTCCCAAAAAGGGATACAGATGTTATGATCCTATCTCTCGTAGAATGTACACAACAATGGATTGTAACTTTCAGGAAACTGAATACTATTTTCACAACCACTCTATCAGTCAGGGGGAGAGAGCTACGAATGACTCTCTAGAGTGGTTACATAGCCCATTCTTACCACCTAGCCCAGCCTTGCCACTCGAAATTGAAACTGTCCCAACCAAGGAAGTGAGTCGTTCTGTGGGATCATCTTTTGATAACAATGAAGAGTCCAACAACTCAGAACCCATGTCAGATTCTACTCCGCCTGAAGCTCCTGAGGTTAGTATTTCTCCCACTCTTGATAATTATATTGATAAATCTAATGATACTGTGGGAGAAATGCCAACTAGATATGTTCTTCCACCACGAAGAAATCGAGGGATTCCTCCTGTCAGATATGAACCAGAATATACTCCTCGGAACTCAAGATATCCTGTTGTTGGGAGCGTACCACAAGCTTTTCACACATTTGGTCATGAGGTTCCTAGAACAGTTGACGAAGCCTTACAAGTGCCAGAATGGAGAAAAGCAATGGAAGAAGAGATGAAGGCACTAGAGAAAAACAATACATGGGAGAAATGTCAACTTTGCCCAGGAAAGAAACCAGTTGGATGTCGATGGATATTTACAATCAAACACAAAGCTGATGGCACAATCGAAAGATATAAGGCTAGGTTGGTAGCTAAAGGATACACTCAAACTTATGGTGTTGACTACTCTGAAATTTTCTCATCAGTAGCCAAAATTGATACGATTCGAGTATTATTCTCTGTAGCAGCTAATCTGGATTGGCCCTTATATCAGTTTGATGTAAAAAATGCTTTCCTCCATGGTGAACTAAAAGACGAAGTATATATGGAAGCTCCACCCGGATTCTCATCTTATTTCAGGAACGGCGAAGGTTGTAGATTGCGAAAAGCTTTGTATGGTCTAAAACAATCTCCGCGTGCATGGTTTGGCAGGTTCACCATAGCCATGAAGAAATATGGATATCGTCAAAGCAACTCTGATCATACTTTGTTTCTAAAAAGGCGGGGGAAGTTTATAACATGTTTGATCATCTATGTGGATGATATGATAATTACTGGTAGTGACGTAGCAGAGATGGCGACATTAAAGGATAAACTATTCTAGGAATTTGACATGAAGGATCTTGGAGAACTCAATTTTTTTCTAGGCATTGAAGTTCTCAAGTCTCAAGATGGGATCTTTATTTGTCAGAAAAAGTATATCCTTGACCTTCTAGTTGAAACTGGACTAGTGGATTGTAAACCAGTTGATACTCCAATAATGGTTAATTTTGGATTACAAATCACCGAAGGGGGAGTTCAGGCTGATCAAGATAAATACCGAAGACTCGTAGGCAAACTTATATACCTTGCACTCACAAGACCTGATATTGCATATGCAGTCGGGGTGGTTAGCCCGTTCATGCACAAGACACAAAAGGAACACTGGGATGCCGCTATCCGAATTGTGAGATATCTTAAGGGGACCATTAATTTAGGAGTAACATTCCAAAAACATGGTCACTTAGATATCCAAGCTTATACAGATGCTGACTGGGCAGGGAATCCAAATGATCGGAGGTCCACTTCGGGATATTTTACCTTTGTTGGAGGTAACCTGGTCACATGGAAAAGCAAGAAACAAAAGGTGGTTGCACTATCAAGTGCAGAAGCTGAATTTAGAGGTATTGCTCGAGGAATTACTGAAGTTCTCTGGCTGAGAAAACTCCTTAAAGATTTGGGGTATCCGCCGAAGGGTAAGTGTAGATTGATGTGTGATAATGCCGCGGCTATCAGTATATCTGAAAATCCAGTACAACATGATCATACCAAACACATCGAGATTGATCGTCACTTTATCAAAGTGAATCTTGAGGCTGATATCATTAGTCTTCCGTATGTTCGATCTGAAGATCAGTTGGCAGATATTCTAACAAAAGCCGTATCCACTGGAGTCTTTCAAGCAACATTGAGCAAGTTGAACATCCAAAACAGATGATTCAACTTGAGGGGGAGTGTTAGAAATATCAAACAAAAATAAATATTTGATTAAGATATTATGTAAATCATATCCTTGATTGAGAATCAAATAATCAATCAAATATATTGATTAGCTTCCACCCACCTTCCTTAATTGTCTTTTAATTACATATTGTAATATATATTGACACCATTCTTGGTGTAGTGAAATAAGAAGAAATCCTGTGAATTTTATTTTATAGTTCTAATAAATTACAAGCTGGACGAGTATTGACCAGTAAAAACACATTATTGCTGTTGTAATTATTTTATAGATATTTATTTTAGTGTTGGTTTTTCATTCAATTAAATTCACAAGAACGTATGTAGGATCATGTATCGTAGTTTAAAATGATGGGGTAATAATGCCTCTTTGTAGGATTAACTACCCCTTCTTCCAAAACCCTCAGATTTATTCTAAAATTTATTTCATGAAGTTGATCTAAGATTTAGGTAATTTTTGTTGTCCTTGCTTTGATTAGGTAAGATCAAACCGCCTCCATTGTTGCAAGACATTTTTATCAAAAACTTCTCAATGTGTCACAAGCTACCTTTACAATCTACATATCTCTCCGTCCCCCAGTTTTTGTCCACTTTTGACTTTTAGAACTGTTCATCTAAGCACTTTGACTCATCAAATTCTCTCAATGTGTAAGCCTAAATATAGTCATGTGTGATCTTGTTTGATTTGTCTTAACATATAGATTATTAATATATAATTTCTATAATTTTTTAATATACAAGTTACAAGATAAAATGGATTAAAGAAGTGCATTGGATGGTGTGCAAAAATGAAAGTGGACAAAAACTGGTGGACGGAGCTAGTACTCACTAATTTTTGGATCTCTTCATCTGTATGTTTTTCACCAGTCATTCATCAACATAAATAGTTCTATGACAAGTTGTAATGCTTGCAATTGTTTGACTGAATCTTCCATGATTCACGTGTTTGTTTTATTCATACTTCATTCACAAAAATTAATTTTCAAACCCACTTTTTTCGATGAGTATTGTGTAGGTATTGATTATTTTCAGTCTATTTAAGGATAAAGATAAAATTCAAATAGAGTAGAGACGCAAGAGGATGAAATTGAGATTGATATTGATCGTCTCAGAGATGAAACATTATTCAAATTTAGAATACTTTTAGAAGAATTTTTGCATCAGAAACAAAAACTGGAATGCAAAAGAAGAGGCTTGCGATATTGATACGGGTTGCAAAAACAAAAACTAATGAATTGCTTTGACTTGCTAGATTTTGATAAGGTATAAACTATAAATATGATATATATGACTACATACTTAAAGTTTCATTCTACTTGGCCTATATTAATCTACAGTTGTTTAATTATGAGTTAGTAATGTGTTTTTCTTGGTAGTTTAAGTAGAATTTGTTTTCCTTTTTTTGTAGGATGTCATGGGCCAGTATGTATGGTGAAGTGATAAAAAAATGTAAATAGTACACTGTACTCAGAAAACATCATTTGAAGATAAACACGATTATTCTAGATTTTCAGCATACAATCTATAACACCACTTGGAACTATGTTTCCCATTTAGCATGCACAATAGCTACAATGGTATTCAGGAAGTTTAGCTATTTAAGGTGTATCGGCGGAGCCTATCAATCAGTGTCCTAATTAATAAAAAGGGATGTCTAAGGTTTGTCTTTTTTATTGTTCTATCTAGAAATTTTGCTTAAATTAAAGTTTTTTTTTTGTGACAACAAGGAGTGTGCTTCTCTAACAATATAATGTCCATGCTGCATTACAGGGGATTCTAATAAGGTACATCTACAATGTTTTGTTACCCACTTACCTGATGCAAAGAAAAATTGGTATGTAGTGTTAGTTTTGAATTTAATAAGGCTTAATATAATTATTGTTTGAGAATCATTTTTAGTCTTTTTGGTTTACACTTTGGTTTTCCAATTGGTCAAACACCTCTTCTTACATATTGCTACAAACGGATTTTGGGTTTGGAGCTCCATGGTCCATTGACATTTAGAATTTCCAATCTTACCTTTCAATCAAATACACTTTGTTGTGGTACTTATTACTCCGCTTATAATCTTCGTACGTCTAATATAACCCCGATCATCTAGGAGCCTAAATTTGATAAACTATTAATAAGAGCCTTCAATTCTGTACATTGCTAATGTAAGAGAGTTTCGACCCCATTAATGTGTTTTAGCCATAGCTATAAAGAAGATTGGTCAATTAAGGTTTGTAGCAGTGAAAACGGTATAATGCATTCTTTTCACATGCCTTGCCTGATAATGACTATCTAATTATCCTAAATGAATGTATAATCATTATAATAAATTTATAATTTTTTGACATGATGCAGCATGTCCATTTGATAATGATGTCAGTCTGACATTTTTGTTAAATTATATGTTGGTGATGTGCTTAAATAAATAGGGTTTTGAATGAGTTATACCCTCTAATTTAATTATAAAAAATGCACACTATTATTATTCATTACTTATGTAAGATCCATATTTATGTATAAAAATTAACCTTAATACGTAGTACATCATAGCGAAAAATGTATAAATGAAATTTATAAGTCAATTACTCTATTTATTTGTATATCATATTTTCATATATTTTTGAATTTGTAAATACATTTTACTTGAGATTATACGAGCCCGTGCGTAGCACGGGGTAAAAAAATATTTTTCTAATTTTATGATAAATAGTGTCAATCTTACATTTTTATTGAATTATAGGTTGGCGATCTGCTTTAATAAATAGGAGTTGAATTAATTATACACTAAATTAATTAGGGAAAATGCATATTATTGTTATTCATTTCTTATATAAAAGTTAGCCTCAATACGTAATTGATGAAATTTATAAGACTTTGAATGCACCTGTAATTCATTTTTTTTATAATGTTGAATTTAGAAATATATTCTACTTGAGATTATACGAGCGGGTGTGTTGCCCGAGCAGAAATTTCTTTCCTAATTTTGTGAAAATATTCTTTCCCAATTTTTTATTTTCTCTTCATTTATAATAAAACTCTTAAATAATAAATAAATATTCTCTTCATCAATAAATAAAAATATTCTTTCCCAATTTTATGTAATGGTATAAGATTAATCGTTGAAGAGTTGCGAGAAAACGTTACTAGTACTATTGTAGTTTCAGCATATTGAGTAGGAGAAATACTTTGCATACCCCGGAAGAATTTGGTATCGCCCGATCCAGGACTAGCCCTAAAATTCTAGAGAAGATAATTTCTAATAGTCTTATATCTGACAATGACTATCAAGAAAAGTAAAGGTCAAACATTATCATTTGTTGGATTATTTTCAACCAAGAAAAGGAAAGGTCAAACATTATCATAATGAAAACTCTTGCAACCATGACAAAAATAATGTATACACTAAAGTCGTTCTGAAAATTTGGTATTAAAACAAACTTTGTTTGGTACACATCCAATTTTTCAAATATTATTTTTTTTACTTTCGCATTTTTGTTGATAGTATTAAAAATCATTACAGAAATATATATTTTTTACTCTGGAAAATTAATGCATTGAAAAATGTTTTAAAATCCACAAAAAATTTGTTCGACCCCGTGCGTCGCACGAGTAAAAGTACTAGTTTATAAATAAGAAGAGGGTTTCTTTAAATTTTGAATCTATTGGGCGCTAGTCTAAAAAAAATTCTTAACCCAACAGATTAAATAAATGACTTTTTTGACGTCCCGGAAAGGAACCTTATCAATACGTGTGCTTCATGACTAGTTTTCATTTTTTATAACAGTATTTTTGTATGTTTTTCTAATATTTCATTAGGTTATTCTTTCCTTTACTTTCATTTATTTTGTTTCCTTTTCTATATGGGTAATCCAAATTCTACTAAATATATAGAAATGGAAAATAGAAAAGATAAATCTAATCTTAATACCAATCCTATTCTTGATAGATCTAGAAAATAAATTCAAGACATTTTCTAACAAATCTCTACCTTGACTTTAATGCTCTCATAAGACAGCAGATGCACGAGAATTAGATGTGTAAAAATACCAAATTTCTTCAAATAAGTGACCTGATGTATTGTAGGTACTAGAAGTGCAACCTCAGACACAGATGTTACTAAAATAGAAACAGAAACAGAAAACAGATTGTTTCACTTGAGTTCAGAAGTGTTGCAACACACCAAACGGGATTACCTTACGCCCGGAGACAGATAACTCAAGCTGAAACACCAACAGAAGCAAATTCCAACTAGAGTTTAAATGGCTCTTCATAGAACCTGAACAGAAACAGATGACACTAACCTAGTGTCTAAGATGGCTCCACCTGAGCCGAGGTCACTCCCTCCAGGGGTGCAGAGCGCCTCACTTGAGGCATGGAAACAAATGTAGCTGATTCTTGTAGGTGATCGATAGTCTCAATCTCAACAGGTGGAACCCCCACCTTAACATCAAGACTATCATCAAATATATGAATCTCGGAGGATACAACAATAACAAAACTTTCCGCAGCACAACCTTGTATACACTCGTAATGGCACCTTTATCCTGGAAACTAAAACCCTTTCTGTTAATGCATGTAACACCCTAAACTGTCCAGGTCTGGAGCCTCTTTCAGACTAAAGTATTAACTTGGAAATCGTAAAAATTTAAAACATTTAAAACATCTTTATTCATCTTAAAGAATATTCAATACATTAAATTGATTCAAATATTTTCACATTCATCCCGACTATCTCGCCCCATCTGCTGTCAGGATCATATCACATCATTCTTTCTATTAACCTGCGTGTAGCAAATAAAACACACTACACGCTCAGCGGTTAAGCTGAGTAAGCATATCTAATGCGTCGAACATCCAAATAAACTGAATCTAAACTCAAAATCAAATCATTTGATATCATGCACACAATGTTCATTTCAGATATTCACAGTTTTGATATTGTTCAGTTCATATCAGCACATTTTATTCACTTCAGATATTATTTTGACAGTGCTCCTAAGTTATTCTTAATCTAAGGGAAAATAATAACTACGCTCTTAGCTATTCTTAATCTAAGGCCAGATCATAACAATGCTCTTAGCTATTCTTAGTCTAAGGCAAAATCATAATTTCATTCTCAGACGCTTAAACCATAATTAGTTTAAGGCAACAATTCTCTGATGCTTAAACTTTGATTAGTTGAAGGCAATAGTTCTCAGATGCTTAAACTTTGATTAGTTTAAGGCAACAACCAATTCTCGGATGCTTTAACTATAATTAGTTTAAGGCAACAACAAGACAATGATTAATCATCATTGAGTAGAAGTATTTCCAAACGAGTGATCCTCCAGTTTGGTCTACAAATTCTGTAATTACGTTTTTATCCAACTCACCGAGTATACATATTTTCACGAATCCATTCTAATCTCAGATCTATTTAGAGGTCTTGTAGATAACCTTAACATCAATTATCTAAATGGGTATATCTTAGAGTTCTTCTAGATACCCTTAACAATACAAATCATTTCATAATTATCAATGTATTCATTTTTCTCATGGTTCAATCATAAGTAATCATTTTAATCAGTAGGTTCATTATTCATAATTATCCATAATAATCATTCATCATAATCATCAATCAACATAACATCCGATAGAAAATAGCAGCCTAGTTTCGAGTGTTAACACCCTAACTTACCGTCATGTATCACATAAAATTTTATTTTTAAAAAACATAATTTTAATGGTGAAAAATCATCTTTATATTGTTCATAATTAATTGGTATAAAAAATAGGATTTTAGAGCTCAAAAATAGCATTTTCGGACAAATTTTCGGATCAAAATTTCGGGGGATCGATCCAGCCCTCTAGATAGATCCATGTGTAGAAGATACATGCCCAGGGGATCGATCCACCCCTTTTGATCGATCCATGCAGTCTGGTTTTCGGCCACTGTTCATCCCCTTCTTCGTTCGGGTCTAATTTCGAAAATACCATTTTTGGTTATCGAACTTCAACTAAATTATATAGAAATGTTTTTCCAAGGTTCATAGATCACTTTGGTATCATTAATTCATAGTTTTAACAACAATTTCATGGTTTATGATTCTTAGTTCTTCAAGCATGTCAAACACAAAACTCAACCAAATGACCGTTTATGAACGCAAAAACGATCTATACGAACATTCTAGTCACTAAATATATCTACGGGCTTACCTCAAAGCTTAACGAAGGTTTTAGAAAATTTTAGGCGAGGATGTGCCTAGCTCCGGCGACTTCACACCAAATTGACAGCACCAGGCCACAACACTCCTCACACTCTCAAGAACACTTAGGAAGAAGATTGAAGAAGAATGGTGAAAAAATGGAGATGAATGAGTATGGCTTATATAGGAATTGTGATGGGGAAGAAGTCAAGTTTGTGTTGCTTCTCTCCATCTCCATGTGCAATCAATGGGCTGAGTGGAGTGAGCGACGCCGTTTGAACATTTACACGCCTCCCTGATTGGGACTAATTTTGGTCACAGTCGGGGTACACTTTTTTGTCCAACTTTTTTCCGAATTGAATTTGGTTTATACCATTGCGATCATGCAGTTAAACTCTATTCAACGATATAATTTTCATAATTATTTGTAATATTTTTTCCGACATCATATTCTTGGTGTTTGACTTTGACAAAGTCAAATTTCATTTAGTTGACCTTTATTCAAAAAGGTTCTTACATTTAATTTATATAACTTATTCTCATTATTTATTTCAATAAATCATTTCAAAGTTCACATCAGAAACAAATTCTCCATTTATTCTTAATTTGGGTCTGTACTCAGGTTCCCAATCAAGATCACACAATAAGTCAACATGTTGGATTTATCTCTATGAGATTCATCCAGATTAAGATAATATGTCAGAACATATTTCATTTCGGCCCAAAGCCCAACAACAATTTATTTTAATCGACACAAATTTTAATCAATCGAATAATTATTCATTATATTAATAATTCTGGGGTATGTTTTGGGGCGTTACAAGACAAACTAAGAATATCAAATTCTGTATCAGAACACTACTTTAGAAAATATCTTTTGAATCCGTTATTTTTTACCATTTGCATTGGTTCTTTACAGATGCAAAAGGCAACGAACAATTGGTGCTAACATTTTTTTATATTGGTTATTAAACTCATGCAAAAGCATAGCTATCAAGGCGTCGCCTAGGCGAGCATTTGTAGACGCCAAATTGGTTGCCTAGCTTTTTATTCCCTGGGCGACAGTGTTATACGAAAATGTTAGTGATTGTGTCTCTATCTCGGAGACGCATCTCCGTTTTGGAAGCGCAAGGGAACACGCAAGATAGAGAGAGAGAAGACGAAGGAGGAGATAGAGAGAAGACTAATCTTTCTCACCAATTATTTGTCGCGGTCTGCAGTGGATATGCAACGACCTCCAGATCTCCACTACCTCTTGTATATCTCTCTATCATTTAGACTAGTGGACTCGATCAAATAACTGGGCAAGATTCATTAAAAGACTAATGGACCTTTACACACGAGTATAAGGCCAAAAATTTAATACGCCTTTTAAAATCACACTTTATTGGAGTTGGACTTTATATATACATACATATATATATGTGTGTGTGTGTGTGTGTGTATACATACATACATACATACATACATACATACATACATACATACATACATACATACATATATATATATATGTGTGTGTGTGTGTGTGTGTGTGTATGTATGTATGTATGTATGTATGTATGTATGTATATGTAACTCCCTCCGTCCCGCAAACCCGGTTTGCCGTGGCCCAACGAGCCGGAGAGGTTACGTAGACGGTTTTAAGGCCGTCTACAAGGAAAACCCTTGCATTGCTTGTAACGGAAATCCCTTGATATAAATATTATTTAATGATGGAAATAAATTAAATTTAAGGAAACATTTATAGCGGAAGTGAAAGTAAATAAAACCGTTAAGTCATTAATAACATAAGTGCAACAACGGTGGGTTCAAGCCCAAAACGTGTTCATAATTTTAATGGATAAATAAACGAGTCCCCACTGTCGTTCATCCGCCGCCCCAATCATCCCGGTCAGGCTCCATGATCCTCTCGCCTACCTGCGTATAGCAAAGGGAAACAACGCTATACGCTTAGCATAAGCTGAGTGGTAATCTAACAGTAGAACGCATAGTACATTCACATTGATATAAACATAATTGTACCTGTACTAAAGTGCGAGATACCACATACGAGTTTGCTCAACAAGGTGAACAATGATAAACGTTACAAAATATAGAATAGTGCAATGCCAAATAATTCATGATGCATGAGTTAGACTGCGCAGGGACGCCCCTGCCCTTCGGTGATCATCACCACGCGGTAGATCATCACCGTTCGTTTGAAATTTGAAATAACGTTTTATGTTTACATGATAAGTAATCTATAACTTACAGGGTTTTCAAAAACGTTTATATTAGCGAATACATAATCGAAAGGTCCAAATAACAAAGAGTCATGATAACGTGGACACGCATATATTTAGCCGGGTTATCCTATGAATATAACGATATGATTGAACTACGAATTCTAAAGTTAGAGGGCAATGCACTCACTTCTTAATGTAGAGGTTGACCATAACGAAAAACGGATGAATGAACGGCTAACGAACGGACAACGAACAACGAATGGCTTCTCGCGTAAACCTTCCTTCTTCTCCTCTTCCTTTATCCTCGTCCAGACGCCGGCACACCTCCTTTGCTACTGCTGCTAGGCCGAACAAACAAGGGAGATGGGGGTTGTGTGTGTGAATGCTTGGGAGTTACAAATGATGGGGAAAGTGAAGAGGAGAGGGAGACTTATATTGAAGGGAAATCAATAGGATAATAATGGGTATTAAAAGGGGTATTGATTTTGGGGGTTATGGGAGAGTAAAAGGGTGAGTGGCGTGTGGGAATAAATGGGGGGTTACCTCCCATAATTCACTTTGTTGTGTAGAATTCGACCTGAACGGTACGCGGGTTTTCCCCCGAACAGTCTGAATTGAAAATCGATTGCATTTTCGGAAATAACCAGTCAAAACTAAATTTATGATATCTTCAAAATATTTTTCTCCACACTTTATTTTCAAACTTCCGGATCCAGCCCAATCATTAATTAATTTAATTACTTAATTAATGTCGAGAGACCCGTTATTAAGATATAATTAAAATACATTAACTTTTGAAATCATTTTAAGGGTTCAAAATTTCAATATTTATTTATTTAAAGTAATGAGTCTCAATGAATAAATAATATTTACTTATTTAAAATCAGGCCGGTTTGAGGGCGTTACAATTATCTCCCCCTTAAAGGAATTTCGTCCCCGAAATTCTCCTCAAGTCACACTTCACGTGTTTAGGGAAATGTTGCGTTACCCAAAACTTTGTTTTTATCGAGCATACAAGGGCATAATTGATAAAAGGGCAATCAATGGGTTTTATTCAAGAAACTGATTTGGTTCAAACAAGTGGGACAAAATGTTGCATCGATGACAACCTCGACTATGCCATAAGTTAGCAGGTACCCCATTCGTGTAGTCGGGTTGAGTCCACTGGAGGAATATCCACACCTGCGCCGTAGATATTGTTGGCAGAGTCCACGCTGAACGTTTCCTCTGGATCATCTCTTTCCCATGCTTCCTTCCAGCACTTCCAGATCCTTAGCCTTGCTATCCGAGCCTTGCGATGTGCACGTTGGTAGCGCTCCTTAGAGTCATATATCTTCCTCTTGTTCTTTCGTCTCTTACCGAGCACGAAGGTTCGACTGGAGTCGATGCTTGACACGCTTCTAGCACTAATGGTACTCATCTAACAATTGCAGAGTACCAAAATGGGAACAAGTGAGCGTATAACACAATTAGTTTGATGATTCGATGTGCGCTCACATGCTCAGGCACTCCTATGGGGATCTACCTATCCGTGATTTGCTATTTAACTCACTTTATGAAAAAAAGAGGCATAATAATTATAATAACTTAAATGATAATTGTTACCTTCCCGGATGGATATACGAAGCGGGATGCAACAGTGGATCCTGAAGAAAATGTTTCCAAAATGGGTTTCAAAATCATTTTTAGAACCGTAATTCTCTGATACCAAAATGTAACACCCTCCGTCCTGCGAACCCAGTTTGTCGCGGCCCAACGAGCCGGAGAGGTTACGTAGACGGTTTTAAGGCCGTCTACAAGGAAAACCCTTGCATTGCTTGTAACAAAAATCCCTTGATATAAATATTATTTAATGATGGAAATAAATTCAATTTAAGGAAACATTTATAGCGGAAGTGAAAGTAAATAAAACCGTTAAGTCATTAATAACATAAGTGCAACAACGGTGGGTTCAAGCCCAAAACGTGTTCATAATTTTAATGGATAAATAAACGAGTTACCACTGTCGTTCATCCGCCGCCCCAATCACCCAATCGTCCGGGTCAGGCTCCATGATCCTCTCGCCTACCTGCGTATAGCAAAGGGAAACAACGTTATACGCTCAGCATAAGTTGAGTGGTAATCTAACAGTAGAACGCATAGTACATTCACATTGATATAAACATAATTGTACCTGTACTAAAGTGCGAGATACCACATACGCGTTAATGTTACAAAATATAGAATAGTGCAATGCCAAATAATTCATGATGCATGAGTTAGACTGCGCAGGGATGCCCCTACCCTTCGGTGATCATCACCACGCGGTAGATGAGCCGAGGAACGCCTTAGTCTCCGGAAGGAGCCTAGAATGTCGGTGATAGCTAAGCCTAGCTACCATGTACGTACACAAGCCCTCCCGATGAAACTCGTTGGATCCCGAAGGTTCCTGGACGGGCCCGCGAAAGAGGCGCACTAGGCCTGACCTCTGGTCGCAGTATGTGAAACCCGTTGGATCCCGAAGGCTCTTGGACGGGCCCACGGAAGAGGCGCACTGGGCCTGACCTCTTGCCGTGGGATGCAAAGTATGCCATGATCCTAAAACATACGTCTAGGATATACATATTGTCATGAATGCATTGCTTGATGAATGAAGTTCAACACATACATACACGTTTGGTTTCGTATGAAAACAATCTGTTCAACATGTTGGCCCTGGGTTCGGAGCTGGCTGATAATCGATTATCAGTTGGTGATAATCGATTATCTAGCATGGCAGTTCATTCCCCCAAGTTCTGCAGCCCCTGATAGTCGATTATCACCTTGTGATAATCGATTGTCAGGCTGGACGGATTCTGAAACAAAGTCCTGAAATGTCTGTTAATCAATTTACACCTCTAGGTAATCGATTATCAGGCGGAATCCATTCTGTGTTGAAGGTTCAGCAGGGGCTGATAGTCGATTATTCCATTGTGTTAATCAATTGTCAACCTCTGCTGTAGAATTGGGAGTTTCAGCATGGCCAGATAATCGATTATCATGTCCTGATAATCGATTATCAGAGCTCGTTGATTCAAAGTTCTTGTCTGTTCATTTGCTACCCGTTCGTTGGAAATTTGAAATAACGTTTTATGTTTACATGATAAGTAATCTATAACTTACGGGGTTTTCAAAAACGTTTATATTAGCGAATAAATAATCGAAAGGTCCAAATAACAAAGAGTCATGATAACGTGGACACGCGTATATTTAGCCGGGTTATCCTATGAATATAACGATATGATTGAACTACGAATTCAAAAGTTAGAGGGCAATGCACTCACTTCTTAACGTAGAGGTTGACGATAACGAAAAACGGATGAATGAACGGCTAACGAACGGACAACGAACAACGAATGGCTTCTCGCGTAAACCTTCCTTCTCCTCCTCTTCCTTCATCCTCGTCTAGACGCCGGCACACCTCCTTTGCTACTGCTGCTAGGCCGAACAAACAAGAGAGATGGGGGTTGTGTGTGTGAATGCTTGGGAGTTACAAATGATGGGGAAAGTGAAGAGGAGAGGGAGACTTATATTGAAGGGAAATCAATAGGATAATAATGGGTATTAAAAGGGGTATTGATTTTGGGGGTTATGGGAGAGTAAAAGGGTGAGTGGCGTGTGGGAATAAATGGGGGGTTACCTCCCATAATTCACTCCGTTGTGTAGAATTCGACCTGAACGATACGCGGTTTTCCCCCGAACAGTCTGAATTGAAAACCGATCGCATTTTCGGAAATAACCAGTCAAAACTAAATTTATTATATCTTCAAAATATTTTTCTCCACACTTTATTTTCAAACTTTCGGATGCAGCCCAATCATTAATTAATTTAATTACTTAATTAATGTCGAGAGATCCGTTATTAAGATATATATAAAATACATTAACTTTGGAAATCATTTTAAGGGTTCAAAATCTCAATATTTATTTATTTAAAGTAATGAGTCTCAATGAATAAATAATATTTACTTATTTAAAATCAGGCCGGTTTGAGGGCGTTACAATATATATATATATATATATATATATATATATATAATCACTGCATCTCGATTGAGACACCAATGCTACAACTATCACCTTTTCAGCTCCAGGTGGTCAATACGGTGCCCGCGATCAACTTGGTTGGGGTTATGAACGTTTCTGGACCAGCACGCCATCCTCAAAACACTATAGATGATCACTGCATCTCGATTGAGAGTGATGATGAAGCATGGGACATTCCCCATTCGCAGAAGAAGAACTGTACCAAGAGGAAGAAGTTCACGTTTCTTAGCGCTACCGGATAGAGGGAGTCGTACAACCTCACCCAATTCCTTACGAGGTGGAGGGAAGAAGTCAACATGGTGGAAGAGATATGCGACAAGAGGACGTTGTCACTCTTCTCGAGCGGCCTCAGGGCCGGGGAGCTGTATAAAGAATTTTGCAGGAGACCTACAACATGGCATGGGAATTTTCTGAAGCAAAAGATCCATACCAGGGATAGGAAGAAACTGAGTTCGCCCATTCAAAACTTAAGCCCGGTCTAAAGTGTGATGGAGGCAACCAAGTTGCTTCAAGCGACCCCAGATTCATGGTGACCATATCACAAATAGGGGTGGACACGGTACAGTTCCGGTACGGTTCCGGTTGCGGAACCGCCGGTTCCGGTACCGCCACCCCATGTCACCGGAACCGTCACCGTGCCGGCCGGTACCGGTTCCGGTTCCCGGACCGACGGCTCCGGTACCGGACCGGCCAGTTTCCCCCCCCCCCCCCCTATTTTTTTTTTGCTTTTTTTAAAATTTTTAAGTATAAAATTTTAAATTTGCAATTGTTTAAGGAAAGAATGAAGTCAAAAATCTAAAAATGTAGTTGTTATTTAAATATTTTAAATGAATAATACACTAACTGAAGAACAACCACATTTAATATCCTGACGGTTCAAAAAAAGCGACGAGATAAAGAACCGTAAAGAAACCCTCGAAGGAGCTTATATATCGCTCAGCTAAAAAAACTAATTACATCTTTACATTAACAAAAAAAATTATAACTTATTCTTCAGAACTCGGACTTCCATCTGTTGTTGCATTCATGTAATGCTCCAATTCGAGTTGGTACGTTGACTCTTGAGCTCGACGTCTTGCCAAGAGCCAATCTTGGTTGCAAACAAGTGTTTCAAGAGATTCAGCGCTAAGACAACTTCGAAAGTCGGTTAGAATGTTGCCGCCAGCACTGAATTCTCGTTCAACT